ATTGAGCTTGTGGGGATTTGGGTGGCCTAAGGCCTGAAAGGGTGAGGAGTTGGTTAAGTTTTGTACTAAGTGCAAAGGTTTGTGACCGTTTATGCAAATTACCCTTAAGTTTTGGGTATTGAGCTCTCTTATCCAGTTTTTGATCCGGTCCCGAACGATTTTTTACCTCAAATCTAAGCCCAAAGATTGGATTGGATGTTCACTATCCGGTCCCAGTCTGGTCTCGGTCTGGGTTATACGGTCTGGTTTGGGGTAAAACCAAAAAATCCGAACCAAATAGTCAGCCCTACGTGCGCCGCCAAAGAAGGCAAGACTTCCTGAAAAAATGGCACCAGCTTGATTATTGCAGGCATCTATCCGATTAATTCAATCAATAATTACTTTGGCATCGCCTTTGAGTCGTGTCTCTGACAAACATATCAGGATTTGATTAGCGGAATTCAAAAAACAATTAATCACTATTGATTAGTCGTTCCCAAATCTCCAAAGAGAGAACGCTAGATTTTTTTTGCTACTTTTCCATCCAAATTGAGCTTATCTCCTTTCTCTTAAATTACCCCTATATTTTGTCAACTATCTTTTGAACAACATATAAATGATTTCTCGAATTTTAGTAAAAATTGAATTGATATGCAAGTAAAATACAATATGTGGTTTCTCTCCAACATGTTATATAATCTACTATGATTTTTTCATCTTGAATTTCACTTATTAACCAAAATACCAAATATAAACTTGAAACCTTGGCAACAAATCTTTCTCAAAGGATAATTCTCACTCCATATTTGGTTACAAAATCTTCCTCGATTTATCAATCATCAAACAATATCTCAAACTATATTTGGCCACAAATTTCCCAATTGTCCATTCGTGTACTTTTTATCTTCTTTTTCCTTCTCCCAAATTTATAAATGCAGTAGATCCTCGGCATTCCAATTTCCGACAGCCATCACCGTCCAAAAAGCAGATTCAGGTCGCGTTATTAATAACATTCTCCCATCTCTTCCCATCCCCATCCGTTAAATAAGATGAAAGCGACAAAAAAAATACTAGATTTAAGCCCGCCCGTTGGCCGGATGAATCACGACAATAATATGAATAAAAACACTAATTAATCGAGCAAAGTTGTATTTTTATTTGGTACCATAAAAAATCAAAATTATTAAATTATTAAAAATATCAGAAAATGACATACATCATATGTTTTATGACATTTTGATAATTATATTCAAGTAAGAAGTCTTTATCAAAAGTAAAAAGTACAACTCATTCAAGAAAATCGACTCCTAAAAATTAATATTCAAAATGCACTTACTTTTTGTTGTTAGAAAATTTTATAAATTATCCTTTGAGTTTCTTTGTGATTGCTCCGCCATAAAAAAATCTCAACACGACTTCGTCTTCATTAATGAAATTTTTATATTCACCATCAATAGTCTCTTCCTTCTTCTCCTAAATTTCATTGAAAATCAAATTTTAATGTAAAATGTTCAAAAATACGAAACATCAATTTCGTGCTAGTAGAATGTACTTCATCCAAGTCATAAATATATTAACCACTCGCTCTTTCCTCTATCATTGGAGTTTCCATATCCACCCTCAACAATCTCTTCTTTTATCTCAATAAAGTCATTATTTGCATTGCCAAATTCACTACACCTAAACCATTATCATACTCTTCATTGTTATCATGCATTTCTCTTAATGCAAAAATTTAGTGGCAAGATGTTTATAATTGCGAAACTCCATTTTCAAGAACTTAAATATACCCAGTGCATGTAATGAACTTTGTCTCATATAACTCTTTGTCACCTTCATTTTCTTCAAAACCTTGTGCCCATTTATGGGGTTCACAATGTTGTAATCGATGAACTTGATATGAAAATTCAACTTCATTTCATCAGTCCGTAGGAGATGAGGTGGTGAAACTTCTCTCATTTTTTCACTATTTTGAGTAATTTCTTATTAGGTGTTAAAAAAATCTAGCTCTCTCGTGATTCAGAACAACGAAGTTAGATTCAACAATGTTGTATACATCTCGCAGCTGAATCCTGAATCTATAAAATATATGCAATTGAGATAATATTTGGTCAAAAAATTTATGCTTACAGGATATAATTTTTTTCCTTGGTTAATTAAAATGATATTGACTTTTGTATTGTTTTTTCGTTTTGTCAAAGTCATTGACTTTTGTATTGTTGATATGTATGTTGTAAGGTTATTATTTTTTGTATGTTTATTAATTGAGCCCATATAATTATGAGTCTCTGGTGGCTTGCAGCCCGTAAAAAAAAGGCCCACATAATGCTGAAATTTGTATGTTTATTAATTGAGCCCACATAATTATTTGTATCTGGTGGCGCGCGTTTAATTGCCTTCCCCGGGATAATTTATTAATTCGGAACCGTAGGAGCTCTAATGGGCTTTGAGGGAGGAGAAGCAATTTACAAAAGTCTCATTCCGTGGATTGCACACAGCGCAGGAAAAGAGAGGTTAAGGGGTTCTGGCCAAGAACCTCTTTATAGTATTGTAGGGATAGGTTATCCCTGCTCTCGGTCGCACCAGATTCTGGTACCGCTCGCCGTTTAGTTTAAGTACCCCAATCAACAGTATAATTTATAGCTGAAAAGTAAAACTGCACCCCCCATTCAAAATTTCCTGCCCATAGAGTGATTTTAGGAAGCTGATGTGGCAGAGTGTTAAGCGGGAAAAAAAAAGAGTCCCCGCCTGATTTCAGAACCAAAAAACTGTCCACTACCCACCTTTTCTCCTGCCAGGCCACGTTGTCATTTAATTTGTATTTATTTTTTATTTCCCAGGAAGGAAATGGTCCACTGAAGAAGCGTGCAAAACAACAAAACCCAGAGGCAAAGCTCCTTCCTTTTCCCCTTCCATCAGTTTCTTTGTTTTTTTCTATTGTTATTCAGAGAGAGAGAGACCAAAAGGGAATCGCAATTCCAATCACATTATAGAGAGAGAGAGGGGGAAAGGTGAAAGGGAGAAGGAAGTCGATTGTGAGGTGCGAGCTCCCGCCTGTGAACTACTCCGCCGCCGTGGATTTGCGCCGCCCCGGCGGCGAGGTTGTGGAAGGGAACTGGATGGCTTCTTCGAGGAGGGCGGCGAATCAGATGACGGATGAGGAAAGTTCTGATTCCGTCCCCGATTGGGGGAAAGTGGTCTACGAGGCGATTCTGGATTGGAACACGGTGGTGGTGTTGGCGAAAGGGTTGAATCTGAAGCCGCGGAGGGAAGTCGATCCGGCCGAATTCAGGTGCCATTTCTCGCTGAGCAACAATTTGACCAGAGAGGAGAGCTTCGTCTTCACCACCGAAGCCACCGCCGCGGCTCAGGAAGTGGTCCGCTGCTTGCATCCGGAAAAACAACACCGCGCTTGCCGAAGGAATCCGCGTCACCGTCAGCCGCGTCGAAGACTCCGCCGCCTCTCCTGCCTCGGCCTCCCCTGCAGCTCTGCCATCGGTGGCGAAAGTGTACAACCCGAAATCCCACGGAATGAGAGGGAAAGGGGAAGAGAAGTACGAGCTCTGCGCTTGCACGATGCTGTGTAATCAAGCTTCAGTTTTGAAGGAATGGGTGATGTACCACTCGTGGCTGGGAGTGGAGCGATGGTTCATCTACGACAACAACAGCGACGACGGGCTACAAGACGTCGCCGACGAGCTCAACACGAGGAATCACAATGTCTCCAGGCACGTCTGGTCGTGGATCAAAGCGCAGGAGGCAGGGTTCTCGCATTGTGCTCTGAGAGCAAAGTACGAGTGCAAGTGGGTCGGCTTCTTCGAGTCGACGAGTTCTTCTACTTCCCTCGCTACAGTGGCCAAACCCCCTTGCCAGGGCAGAACTCGCTCCGCGCTATGGTCTCGAACTACACCGATTCGCCCACGATCATGGATGTGAGGACAATGTGCCACAGCTTCGGCCCATCGGGGCTGACAGAACCGTCGAAGCAAGGTGTGACGGTAGGTTACACTTGCAGGCTGCAGGCTCCTGAAAGGCACAAGTCCTTCGTCCGACCGGACCTTCTCGACATGACGCTGCTGAACATTGTGCATCACTTCAAGCTGAGGGAAGGGTACAAGTCGACGAACGTGGCGGAGGGGACGGCGGTGATCAACCACTACAAGTACCAGGTGTGGGACACTTTCAAGGCCAAGTTTTTCAGGAGGGTTTCGACCTATGTGACCAACTGGCAGGACAATCACATGTATTTGTGTTGACACATGTATTTGTGTTGTTTCATTTGTTGCATCGTATATATTTTAATTCCAGGTCATGTGAGGATCATGCTAGCCTAGACAGGGATGGTTCCGCCCATATATGATTATGGTACACCCGTCTTAATGGCGGATAGGCAATGATGAGGGAGGTTTGCGGATTTTGACCTTTTTTTTATAAGCTATTGTTTTGGTTGGTTATACCTCAATGTTTTGTTTAATTATTTCTTGATTCCTTTGTTCTCTCTTTGGAGTTACTCACCTTAATTTAGTGGAATCTCTTGGCAATTTTCTGATAATTGACTTGCTGCTCTCAAATGCACAAATTTGCAGGATGGCTTATGGCAATGCACCAGATGCTGCTCAGCTCAGGTTTCGATTATATCTTCGACCCTGCTATCAAAGTTGACCCTTGGCTTCCGAGATATTGAAGTCTCCTCTTTATGGTTTGGCTTTATTTCTTTCTATTTCCTGGCATGGTCCTCCAATTCTTGATTGTGGGTTTTAGTTCTCAAAATCAGGACTTGCTTTTCTTGCCATGATATGGCTTCAATGCATAAACCGCTTCTTTTGGTTGAGTTTTTGTTAGTGGTTTAAAAAATTAGCATATTTTCTAAATGTAGGGTAATTTGGTGGGGGAGACTAATCAATTCTACATTTTCAGAAACATTAGCCTACTTTCAATATGCAGTGTTTGTATGTATGATTCGAGAGTAGGGGTCTATGATCCATATGTCGTCTTTCAAGCCTGCACTTTCGGCTGATATATGTTTATCACTCCAACGAATGAAGCCTTACAAATTTATGGGGGTTGATGCTTACCCCGGGTGAGTTAGTCGGTGCATTTATGTCCTCTCCTCCCTACTGCTTTATTAGCCGTTTGTCTCACTTTTAGTCGTTCTGCTCTAGAAGGTGACCATTGTATCATGTGTGATCTGATCAATTTCAATGTTTTTCATTCACGTGTTTCCTTATTACTAGCTCTATTCCCACACTTCGAAGAGATTAGTTTGAGCCTTCCAGTATATGATCCTATAAACTCATTTACAATTGAATTGTCAGTATAAGCTATTTTACTTGCATTATATAACGCTTTGGAGTTTGGGACATTTTATTCTTAAAGCTTTTAGTCATTTTTGCTATATGGTTTCGATTTTTTTATTTGGTTTAGATATTTATCCAGTTCGATCTGGCTTTCAAGTTGTACGAAATTAAGTTGGCTGAATCTATCACTTAAAAAAAAAGTTTGCTGAATCTATCTATTTTAGGAGTCAAAAGTTCCATCATCTACTTGAAAAAGAACTCTTAAGGCGTGTGTCTATTTCTTTGTAATAACTTGGTTTGTTTTTCCTAATTATTTTCTCTGTCATTGTTGACATGGCCTGCAATTTCTCATTAACAAAAAGGACTATGCATGGTTTCCTACTCCAAACATGCTTTGTAGTGTCTTCCTAGTTCCCACCGCTTCGACATTGGTCAAACACAAAGCTCCTTTGCTATATCACCAACAAAGATGTTTCATTATTATCAAAACTACCCTGGTACGTGCCTAGACTAATTGTTCTTTATCAATGCCCAGTTAGTAATTTTGTTATAATATGCCTCTTAATTTTCAACAACGACAAGTTTACAGTTTGTTCTCATTCTGTTCAACTTATCTTCCACTATGCTTTCAGTATGCCTCCTTTCGTTGATGTTTTATATGTTCATATGACAAGAATCGTTACCTCATTTTCATCATTGATACAAGATCTCTTGAGTGATCTCTTGCTATTATTTCATAGTAGAACCTTTAAATATACCAAACCAATTTCAGTTACAGACAATCATGTCACCAATTTACCTGAGAAATTTTAATGGAAATCACTGTGGTTTTTCAGCCAAACACTTGCTGATTTTGGTTATTCCCCCGTTGTTACTATATTTGCACTTTAGACACCCAGTTGTAATCTTGGACGATTCCAACTTCGTGTGGATGCTAATTCCTCAATCATGACTTAGTAATGATGTAGTCTTTAACTGATAATTTACCCCTCTTTTGGGTACATATGCACCTATTTTTGTTCACAAATTTATTTTTAATTTCACAGCCAAGATAGTCAACTGGGGTCTGGGTGCATTTCCTAATTACAAATGCTTCCCATCACACCCAATGTTCCGCCACCGCCACCATCACTTCCAAGTTCCAACCATGGGCAAGATACAAAACATCTTCATTTCACCGGCCAACAGGCCAGATCAGAAACCAAAATATGTTAAGAGTTAGATAGATAGATAAATGATGGATGATGTGAGCGCTTGACCGAGAGCGGTGAATTGGTTGGGAAGTTGCCAAGTTTTTCGGCAATAAGGTGGTCAGCCACCCTGCCGATGAATCAGACCCCATAACGTAACATTTAATATAAATAGCCTTGATTCTGCTGATGTTTCTATTTTTAGAATGTGAATTGAAATGCTGCAGCAAAAGAAGGAGAAGGAAAGATCAATATTTTGGCGGGCTAGGGCGGGAACTGAAAGTTGCGATGAGTTTTAATGTGCATATATATTTTCTATTACTGAAACTGCTAGCCTTAGATATTTGTGAAAGCTCTCTTTGAGAACTCAGAGTTGTCTGCTTTGTTGATCTAATTTGGGCTCAAACAATTGTGCTAACCTATAGTTTTTATTGTCGGACCTCATTCTCTTTTCACTGATAAATTGCCTAATAACAAAATTAAATTGACCTACAGTGACTTTTGTTTTCCAGGTTCTTTCACTGTGTGTGGTAGCGAATATGAAATATAACCGGTAGCATTTTGTTCTTTTTTATATTCACTTTAGAAATTTTACATGTTTTTTTTTTTGGAATTCAAGAGGTATGGATCCGTACATCGATAATAACAAATCTTATAAAGAAAAACAATTTAAGCAATTTATATTGAATGTAAAAAAGTATAAAATTTTCTTCTAAAATATAAAAAAAATATAGATACCAGTAACCTAGGATGGCCACATCACCAGAACTAATTACTTACTAATATAAAATTCAAAAGTAACACAAATATTATTTTCCCTTTATGAATAAACTATTTAAAAGACTGTAAATTTTTTGAAAATATTCAAATTGGTTGATACAAAACAAAAAAATATAATACAAAATTCATCCGACCAACGGGTCGGGTAAAAGCTAGTTTACTACTAAAATAAATTGACTTTTCACGTTCGCATCACATTTACCCGGAATTTTCAATCATTTTCTTTTTCTCCCTTCCCCTTCCAATTCTTCTTCTGAGAGAGAAAGAGTAATTCTCCCCGTATCTATCTCTCTTCCCGCGGATCAGAATCCGTCTCCCTCTCCCTCTCCCTCCTCACCTTCACCTTCACCTTCACCTTCACTTTCACTTTTCACATCGTCAAGTTAAGAAGCGAAGATACAACGGAAGCGGCAGTAATACACGACGACACCTTCTGCTGTTTGCCGCCGCGGCCTGCCTATTGGACCGAGCTATGCTTCACAAGAGCTTCAAACCGGCGAAATGGTGAGCTCTTGCTTTGGTTTGTTTGTTCTCTGTACTTGTGGCATGATTCAATTCTTGGACCGATGAGAATATATGACTTCTCTCTGTTATTCTCTGTTTCCGGGAAGCGAATTTCGATGGAGGATTTGGCGATTGTAACAGCGTTTGATTTTGGTTTTGTTTTTCACTTGTTTCTGGATGCAGCAAGACGGCATTGAAGATGGCGTCATCCCGCATCAAGCTGCTGAGGAACAAGAGAGAAGTGCAGTTGAAGCAGTTGAAGAGAGAAGTTGCTCAATTGCTCGCTGTCGGCCACGATCGGACTGCCAGGATCAGGGTACGCCCCTCTCTTAGATCCTTCTTTGTTTGATTTCTTCCAGTTCGGTTACTGTTGTATTGAAGTTTTTTAAGTTCTTTTGGTTCCCCCTTTTTCTTTTCCCCTTTTCCCACTGTGCTGAGAAATCTGTGATACGGTTCTACTTTATGGTTTGTAGCTGGTGGACATGGTTGGATGCTGGTATTTGGATAGGGTTTGGCTTCTGGACTGGTTCTTGTTTAGTCGTGTTGCAGAATTGAGAGGGTTTTGTGACAATTGGATCAACTGGTTGCTTGTTTAATGTTTATTTATAGGATGATAGGTTCTTGTTGCTGGGTTCACTACTATTCTTGACATTGTTGTCTTTCCACTATGTGTTATGTGGTGCTCTTTCTTTCCTGGTTGTAGCTGAACTACTGCTGATTCCTGTTCTTGTTATTTTGCCTTGCAGGTGGAACACGTAGTCAGGGAAGAGAAGACAGTGGCAGCATATGATCTTATTGAGATTTACTGTGAACTGATTGTTGCCCGTTTGTCCATGATTGACTCACAAAAGTATGTATGCTTTTCTGTGTAATCTCTGGAAGCTAGTTAGTGTATACTGTTTTGGGGAATATAGTACGAATGCTGGACCCTTTTATTCCATGTCTTGTGTATACTTAAACACTCGAGAGACTGTGATGTAGAAGGTTTGATTTGTAGTCTGCTGCGCTTGTGATCTATGGTCCAAATGTGAGTGATATTAGTTACTTATTCAATTTCTTTTAATCTAAAATCTGATGGATGTGAAATATATGAACGTTTGTTTGTCATTAAAAATACACTAGTTTCTTTGCCCGCGCTTTGCCGCGGGTGACTATTTGGTCTTTAGCTTGTGAGCGTTTGTGTTTTCTTTTTTCTGTTTAAATTTTGTAATTTCCATAAATTGTTCTGACTCGTATGAACCAATATGAATGTAGAAAGTATAACGATGCAAAAGGGTAGAATATGATTAGTTGTTGTACAATTTTACCAGACAAATCTAATATATAGTTGTTATATGTGAAAAATTCCAACTACCACAACAGAATGCACAGGAGAAATGAAATCATGAGTTTAGACTCTACTTGGAAACCACCATGAGTAAGCCTTACATCTGTAAATGAGGTGGGATTATAGTAGAAACAGGGCAAACTAATAGAGTGAAAGTAGCCATCTAATTGTTCTACGGTCTTGCATCCAGCCACTTTAGCAATCTGTTCATTATATTCAAATGATCTGACTCGTATGAACCAATATTCATTATATTTAGTTAGTGTACTTATAAACCAAACACAATTCAAACGTTCATGAGTAAGAAACCAAGAATGATCACCAGTAAACATTGGGGAAGGGAGAGCAGAAATCAACGCTAGGGGAGAAGACATATCTCACTCTAGTTGCCCTGCTGTCAACTGTCGTTGCTGCTCCAATTCTTTTCATTAGCTCAACATCCTATCAATCAACCGGCCGGTGGAACCAAAAAGGGTGAGGCAATCATTATTGAACACAAAACCAAGTAAGAAGCCCTGTCTGCATGAAAAAGTAGATACACACAATCTATTCATCAATTACGTATCTGGTAGGTTCAATACTGATATTATGCGGGAAGATAGTGACCTTTTAGGCATAGTTTTGGCAATGATTGCATCAACCCATAGAGCATTGGGATGCCTAGCCTATTGGAGAGATCCAAGTGATTCACCAAGCAACATGGGTGTTAGAGCTCGAGTTAATGAAGATACAGAAAAATGTCAAGCAGATTCATCAAGCAAGTAACAAAGGCTGCTGCTCCACAATTAAAACCCATCATATGTTAGATAACCAAAACATACTCCCTCTTAACATACATCTTGAAATGAAAGAAGAGCATTGCAAATGTACTTTGAATTTACACCGGCTAAGCTATGAAATAGTAAATAGCAAACGCTTGATATAAAAGAGGGATCCCTCCCTCCAAAATGAAACCAAAAAGCATAAAGCTAAATAAGCTTCGTGGACTTCTCCCAATTGTCAGAACTCATATCCAAAGCATAATTCATCAATGCTAAGCAAGAACAACAATTCATATAAGGAAAGAGAAACCTAGTTAAGTAATCTCAAAATTATAGAACTCGTAAAGTAATCCCGGTTGGTACCAACTTTCCTATCCCCGAAGTGTAGAGCTTTATGTGTTCTAATAAGTTAGTTCCAACACAAACTAATGCTGATTATATATTCTTCAAACTCCTAAAGGTTGTGTGAACACCTACTAAGAGAGCTAGTCGGATGCTTACATTTACTACCATAGTCATGTCACCATCGATCTACCAAATTATCCCTCCGTTAGGAATCGGCCATAGCCAGAGAATGCCAGTTCACTCCCCTCGGTCGCATTCCCGAGCATTGGGATGCCTAACCTAGTAACTATTAAAAACAAACCTACTGAATAATGACATTACCCCCTTGAGTAAAAATGGAGTCACCTGAAGTCCTAGCCTCTTGCACCTGCAACTTGTACAGCTTCGATCCCATGACTGTCTCCCTTCCACTCACGCTCCTGTTCTCACTCTGACCCAATGTCTGTCTAGAACTCATCGGGCCAGAGTCTGAAATTGCAGTCCATCCATTAAGCGGCTAATGACATAAAGAGAAAAGAGAAACATGTAACATATATCATTGTTGGACTACTTAAAATGTAATCACATCATCTCAAACCATGCTCCAACAAAGAAGAAGCTGCTCATTTATCAAAGAGATGTGTCTGTGTAAAAAAAAAGCTAGTTCAGACCATGCTTCAACATAAAAGAAGGTGCGGGAATTATCAAAGTGAAATGTCATACTCACCTCTTGCTAAAAGGACAATGGAGCCCACATTTTCTCCACGCAAATGACTCGACTCCCTGCATTGTTCCACTTATATTTGATTCATATCTGAGGAGTAGAGGCATTGCTAGAGTGGTAAACCGCTCAATTGTGGATACCACCTGGTCCCTCTTCTTCTTCATCCTTAGTTATGTGCTGCGTCAAAGAACATAACTCCTTTAGACAGTCTGGAAAAAGAATAGACTATTACTTGAAAGCCAAAGCACATGGGGCAAGCAGGTTGTTGTGAGTTAGCAAGGAAAGGCTTCCACAACTTTTAGCAAGAGGGAGGAAGTTGTGTTCTAACTGTCAAAACAAAACTCATGAACGAACCCTTGTATATTTACTTGATAATATATATATATGGAACTGCAAAAACAATTCTTCTCACTCACTCATGGATCCTCATCAAAGATGGTTTCACGCTTAAGCTTATAAATGACTAAAGGGTTGTTTAGCAAATCATTCAACATTAATTAGTTTGGCCTAGATTAACCTTTCTACTTTGTTTCAAATGAAGTGAAGTAGACGTGAAGAAGAAAAGGTATCAATGAGGTATTTGATATAAAAGACGGATGAATGGATCCAACCCCAAATAGTGGACTCACCGAAATCAAACAATCAAAGGTGCCACCGTGAATTGCCGTAGCCCTCAGTAGAGGTGGATCTGATTTTCACCGCATGTCTTGCCCTTGTCGCCTCATCGACTTGGGGACGACCCTAGGAGACGAAACGTCGGAGAAGGTGAGGATCAAAGAGGAGGCTGGGATGTGAGGAGGTTTCGCTGTCGTCGTCCGCCGCAGTGCCGTCGAGTGAGTTGAAGGACATGTCGTTGAGAGGTTCGTGGGAGAGGGGGGAAATCAAAACCCGCGATTTCCCGGGGACATCAGCCCTTGCCAGTCTCCCTCCGGCGTGCTGTTCAACGGTCAGGGAGGTGAAATTGGGGGACATTCGTCGGTGTCCGTTCAGTGGGTTGGGAGATGGTGGATCTGTCGTCGCCACCTCCTCTCGCCGGCATGCCATTAAGTGGGTTTAGGGAGATGAGAGAGAGGGGAAATCGGGCGTCGTTCGTTGGCTTCCAGGTTCTCTGTCGCCATCGTCTCCCGCCGGCGTCCGTCCGTTCAGTGGTTTCGGAGAGGGGAGAGAAGGGAAGAAGGTTTGGGAGAGAAGGGCAGGCGTCTGGTCGATCGGAGGTTACGAAGATGGTAGGTTCTGGATCGGGTATCGAGATGGGAGAGAAGGGCAGAAGGTTTGGGAGGCGTGTTTTTCTGGAGGTGAGAGAAAAGAAAGTTTAGACTATCGAGAAACGTATTCTTTTTTTAAGGGGCCCACCGATCTGGTCTATCATCAATGGTCACGTTTTGTCTAAATATAAGCATCAACGGCCACACTTGGCCTTCCCAAAGATATATGCACATGAGTTCACATAGGTAGGACCACAGGGAATCACCATGTCTCTTGGTGAACAGTGGCGAGCGATTTTTTCGTAATGAACAGTGTTTTTCGATTTTTGGTAAGTTTTGTCTGCTTGTGGCTTAATAATTCTAAGGCTTAATACATCTGTATAGCCATAGATTTTTACTTTATGACAACAATAGCCAAATTTTTAAAAATACACAAAAATAGCCATTCCGTCAATAACTTTAACAGAATCATTATCAATGTTGACGGACTAACATCTTCTAATGACATGGCGATTTTTCTCAAACGTCATGCCAGGTGGAAATACTCAAATACTAAAAAAAAGTAAATAAATAAAATAAAAAAAAGGATAAATCGCATCTCGCTCTTTACGAACCCCGAACCCCTCTACCAACCCATCTCCCTCTCCGACGAGTTGAGCTCTTCCTTTTTCTTCTTACTCCGCAAGGGTATTCATCTTGTTCTTTCCCCGAGTCGCCGGTATCGTCGTTGCCGCTTCATCCACCATTCTCCTCTATTCGTCATTCGGCTCGGAGTGAAACAGATCGGAGAGAACGAGAGCCACTCCGCAGCATCGATTGCGAAACCCCAACCACCGCCAAGGCTCGGCTGGCTCCGACACCGATTTTCAGATCCGGTCGTGGTCTTAGAGGCGCTGGTCTGCAGCCGCATATCGTCTCCAGATCTGCAACCGCCTTTTCCAATCTCCTTCACCGAGAACTCCAAAGCTCACCGGAGAGATTGAGACCGTCGTAGACCTCCGACACGCCGCTACCCCGTATCAGATCTGTGTCAAAATTGAGACTTTTCCATTTTTGCTTTCTTGCTTGATTGAATGTCAGATCCGAAATTGTAGGGTTTATATGCTGTTTGAAGTGGGTTGGATTTGTCGTCGGAGGTGGATTTATTGGTGATGAGTTCAGTGGGCATTCTTATCGTCAGAGGTGGATTTTGGCATTTGGATTTTTCTCATCAGTGGACAAGCTAATCTAGGCAAGGTAAGGAAGGTTCTTGATATGGTGTTCGCTTTATAGGAGATGAGAGACACTTAAAAGAGCTAATTTTGTTAGTCGATTTTGTGTTTGCAATCGCAGAATTGGGTCCAGCCACCGCCGACGCCGAGGTCGTCGGGATTCCCCGTCGAGAAGGAAGGATTAAAGAAAAATAGAAATAGAAAATTATTGAAATTAATACTTCATGTTTTGAAATTATTTGGAGTTTATTTATATTTTTTTCAAAATAAGAGGTGGCATCCACGTGGCATAACGAGTCTAGTTGAAGCTTATGTGTCGTCTAGGTGGCATCCACATCAGATTAACATTTATTTAACTGACGGCATTCCTAACACCGTTAAACTTTGTAACGGAAATGGCTAAAGTTGTCAATCTAGTTTCAAAAACATGGCTATATTTGTGTATTTTTTGAAATTTGGCTATTATTGTCACAAATCGAATAGTTATGGCTATGCGGGTGTATTAATGGGTTTCTTACCTGTTAGCTATTCTTCTGCAGACTCTGCCCCATTGACTTGAAGGAAGCAGTCTCTAGTGTAGTTTTTGCATCCCCTAGATGTGCAGACTTGCCGGAACTGGCGGATGTGAAAAAGCATTTTACAGCGAAGTATGGAAAGGAATTTGTTTCTGCTGCTGTTGAACTACGTCCAAACTGTGGGGTTAGCCGCTTAGTAAGTCTGTCTGGGTCGTTTCCTATGCATGATTTTGTAGTTTGGACACTTTTGGTAACAAATCTTATTTTTCCCTCTCTGCCCTATTTTAGCTCGTGGAAAAACTGTCTGCAAAAGCATCTGATGGCCCTGAAAAGATGAAAATCTTGAGTGCAATTGCTCTGGAACACAATGTTAAGTGGGATCCGAAATCATTTGAGGGTGATATCAAGCCTCCCGAGGACTTGCTGGTAAGTGTTGAAAGTACACCACTGTGTTCCTCTTATTTTATTCTTCAAGAAGTCAATCGTTACTAATATCACCGTCTTGTGAAATTTCTTGAGCAGAACGGACCTGGTACATTTCAATCGCCCTATACAATGCATGCCCAAAATCATGACGTAGACCCACCTCAGAATTTCAACAGCAGCCATGCTTCTGCTCATGGAAAGCATGATGGAAGCATGAACTCATATGCTCCTAGTTCCCAACCTTCTTCTCATTTGCAATCACCTAGGCCTGATGATTTCGGTTCAAGTAAGGCAATGTCATCAGCTTTCTCTCACCCAGAGCAGAGGACTTCTCCAGGTACAGGACCTGAAGGTGTGGAATATAGACATTCACATGACAGGTCAGGAGGAAATTTTTCTTCTGGGAGCCACCAGCAATGGAATACAGAGTTCAAGGATGCCACGACTGCTGCACAGGCAGCTGCTGAATCTGCAGAACGAGCAAGCATGGCTGCTAGAGCCGCTGCTGAACTCTCAAGTCGTGATAACATGAACAGGCGTCAGTCAAGAGAAGAATCACATTTTGCTTCTGGGTTTTCACACAGAGATGATGTAGGGCAGCGTCTTACTACTGGCTCTAGGTTTCTAGATGAGAGACCTTCCAAGGAACCGATGAAGAATACATCCAAAAGTAACTCTCGAGTGAACTATGAACAGCAGACTGATGATACTGAAGAAGATATCCTAGCTGCTTTGAATGAAAGGTTTTACAATCTGAAGGGCCGGTTGGCTGCTACCTCAGATTCCAATGGTCCTCCTGAGATTGTTTCTTCTCCATCTATGAGTAACCACGATACAGTAGAGAGGCATTCCCGAACAAGCTCATTTGAATCGGACAAGAGCGACATTTCAAGTGATAAAAATATGGGAAGAGCGCCCAGTGATCATGAGATGGACATTATTGGTGGTAACATGCATGGTGTGATAAAACATGAAGCTTTTGATTGTTTCGAGGAATCAAGTGTCCCACACCAGTTTAGTGGTCTTCGTAACCATCCCCATTCAAAGATTCCTAGTTTCGATGAGAATTCGACCTCAACATGGGACCGTCATAAGTCAAGTGATGATGCTACTTCTGTGGATCTTTTTGTCATTGGACAAGCAAGAAACCGAGTAAATGCCAAAGAAACATGTTCGTATGATGTTGCCGCTGCAGTATTTGATGATCATGGTTCTGATGATGGCGAGGCATATAATTTGCATGTTGAGGATGAACTTAAGGACCAACAATCCAGTATGGGCTCTCATTTTCCTTCACGGACAAATGCATGGTGCCCTGGGAAGAAGAGCATTTACGAGTCTCCAAGGAAGTCAAATTCTTCATCTCTCTTTACCATTGAGAGAAACCATAGCTCTATTGCTTCAGAAGGTTTAATTAGCAATGCAGTTCCTTCGCAGCAGGACGCTTTGTTACCAGTGACTTTTGATGACTCGGATGGACCAAGTTCTGAAAATGAAGATGGTGGTAGTACTTCTTCTCATGTCCAATCCAAAAATCTGCACTATCATGACCTCAATGAGAGTTTTTCCTTGAAGGGATCTTCATCGTTAGCCGAAAACGAAAACTTAGGGTACAATAATAGACAGAGTTCCCTGCGTCCATCTTCAGCCGACTCCCATGAAGGACAAATGCAGCATCAGAATATCCAGGGAGTTGGAGTTGGTGGTATAAAAGCTGATGATGGGCAGTATGGTGATCCCAATCGTCCTTCTATCAGCTTGGCACAATCTAGATCCAATTCAAGTGATGTGGATGAGAAGTTTCAAACACCAGTACTTCTGCCTGCTGGAGATAGTGATGGTGATGATGAAAATGGATCTGGTTCTGCAAGTGGTAAGGAGTTGAACTTTGGATTCCTGGCAGGGGGGATTCGAAACAAAGGCTATAAACTCCCACCTTATCTTAAAAATCCTGCTACTCAAAATCCTTCACCATCCAAACAAGCTGTTGAAGAAGTTACTTCTACAAGAAATATTCAAGACACATCCAGCCAGGTACCTCCCCAAGAAGCAAGTAGAAGAAGAACTAGCTTAAGAAATCCAGCTAGATCATATAATTTCAGTGACGGTGATTCAGTCAAGGATCGACCTTCGCAACAGAAATTCGACGGTAGTGAAGAAGGCCAACATAATAACCATAACTCAGGAGGAGTTGAAGTAAACAAAGTATCAGGGTCTCGTAGAACCTTCTTCGATTCAGATGACAGTGAAGCCGAAAGGGAACTTCCTGAACAGAAATCAGCCGCAGGGAAATCTGTTGCAGGTCAGGCATTTTCCAGGCGCACTAAGGATGCTGCTGTTGCTTCTGATGATAGGAGTTCCCATCCAAAAACCAAGAGCTCATCACAATCTCCAGGAAATGTTGACTACGCTGCCCCCACTCGTCAAAGTCCTCCAACATCCAAGTCAAAGCCCTCGACGTTCCAGTTGAGTTCAGAACCCACAGTATCCTCTGAAAAGAACAGTGTTAGACCATCTGCTACAAAACAACCGTCAATTCCTGCTGCTCTGAAAACGGAATCTCCAGGCAACAACTACAGCGCAAAGACTTCTGGTGCAGCTGGGGATCCCTCGTCCGTAAAAGATCCTGTCAACAGAGCCAGTCACGTCCACCCTAAACTACCCGACTACGACACTTTTGCAGCACACCTACGGTCTCTTCGCCAGGATCGCCAGTAAAAACTTACATGCCAAGTTTTTCTTTATTTATTTATACCGCACATAAAAGGTTCCTCTCTTCCCACACTTATTTCTTTCCATTGTTTGATTGTTTCATAGATGACTGATACAGATAAACCGGGCAATTTCATGGCCTTACATGTCGCTGTAAATTCCAGTGTAATTTAATTTTACAGGACGTTTTTGTTAGTTTATAAAGCGAGCCATATTCATATGTAGTGGACAGATGTCTGGAGAATGGAGATGATGGAATATATTAAAGTCACTTCTGATGGTTACCTTTCCGTCGATTTGGGGCTAACTGCCTGCCAATTTGTACGCAAGAAAAAACCTGCGATGTATATGAACCTAGAAAAGGGCGGATCTGCCTTTTGCCATTCAACCTGTGTGGCCTGCTACTTTTCTTCCCTGAAATTCGTAACATTCTCTTGTCATTTCAGACAGCACAGGAACTGCATGATTTGAGCTCCGAGATCGCGTAGTCCGGACTCAATATATGCGTTCAGACGCAAAAAGATCCCTACTTTGTGTTTGTTTGTTTGTCTGTAGTGTTCAAAGAGAAGCCAGCCAGCACCATGGAATCACCTGCAAGAATCATACCCAACCCCCACCTGTTGCAGAGTGACGATCTACTCAAGGTACCCATCTACTACAAATCTGCATTCAGTAGTAATGTATTTGATCAAGACTTTCCCGTCAGCCAGTCCATTGCGTCGCAACTTTGGTTATCGTTTTTGTTTGGATTACTGGACGACTAATTCGAACTCTGAGTGTTGTTGTACATGTATAATTGTCAGCACATAATGGAGACAACGGTGTACCCAAGAGAGCCACAGGTCCTCAAGGAGCTCAGGGATGCTACTGCCAAAGACCCCCGGTACGTATCTGATTAACTAACTAATCCACCATTTACCTAGAATTCATTTGATCAATTATGTCTGAACTCACTCTGGATTTCGGGTTCGTTTGCTGTGTAAAAAAAACAAACTTTGGAAGTTCACCAATGGCTGCTGATCCACACGCTTCACAGTTGATGAGTATGCTACTGAGGATGGTGAATCCAAAGCGAACCATTGAGATCGGCGTCTACACTGGCTACTCCCTCCTCACCACTGCCCTTTCTACTCCTCCCGATGCCAAGGCAATGCACTCACTCAGCCAACTCTGCATTTCTTCGCACTTGCCCATAAACAAACTATTCAATACTGACTGTTGTTGCAGTCATTTATTGATTTCAGATCACTGCAATCGATCCAGAGCATGCATCGTACGAAATCGGGCTGCCGTTCATAATCAAAGCAGGAATTGAACAGAAGATCGACTTCATCCAATCTCAAGCTCTCCCCGTTCTCGATGACCTCCTGCTCCTGCAGAAAGAAGAAGGGAGCTTTGATTTTGCGTTTGTGGATGCGGACAAGCAGAACTACGGCAACTACCACGAGCGGCTGATGAAGCTGGTGAAGATCGGCGGCGTGATTGTCTACGACAACACCCTCTGGGGCGGCACCGTGGCAAAGCCCGACGGAGAAGTTCCTGGCTGCAAGAGAGAGGGGAAGGTGCTGGCAGCTGAGTTCAACCGGAGGATCGCCGCCGATAACCGCGTCGAAATCTGCCTGCTTCCGTTGGGCGATGGCATTACCATCTGCCGCCGCATCTCCTGAATAAATATTATTACTCATAGCCCCCAATGCCTCTTCTTGTTTTTATCCATCTGTATTGGAACACTTTCTATCTGCTTTCCGCATGCAACTCTCCGCGCCAAGAGTACAGGAAAATGATGAACAATAACCACACAAGCGTCAGAAAGTAACAGCTTTCTTACAAGGAACAAACAACAGCTCCTTTGTTATTCTTTTAAAGGCTAAATTGCAAGTTTGGTCACTAGAATTACTTAAAAATTTTACGTTTGCCACTAAAATTGATTTATTCCATCTGTAGTCACTTAAATTAGGTTAACAGTTCAAGTTTGGTCACTGGCCGTTAGTCTCCGTTAAGTTTTGCTGATGTGGCGGTCAACTCTTATAGTTGACCGTTAAATAAGTGACGTGGCAATTAATAAAATAATAAAATAATTATTTTTATTTTTTAGCTAATTATTATAAATTAAAAAAGGAAAGTCTAATTCCTTTAATTATTATTTCCACCGCCAGACCGTCGCCGTTCCTCTCCACAGAATCGTCCCCGCCGTCATCAGCCCGCTCACCAAAAAGGTCTTCGTCGCAACAAGAACACGCACGGAATCAAGCAGAACACACACCACAGCGACAGCCTCATCGGGATCCTGTACGGTATCTGCAGCTCCGGCATCTTGTGCCTCAGCCACAAGAAGGCCGCGAACTCCAGCAACATGCTCAAGCTGTAGATGAAATTTGTAGGAGATGATGTCCGTGAACTGCAGAAACGACACCCCGAGCGTCAGCGTCGTGGGGACGGCGATCCCGATCTATGGCGTGTGGAACCACTTCGATCTCGCCGCGAAGAATTTGTGGAGGGGCCCCAAGATATGGTACGTACAGCTGCTCAATTGGGCCTCGTAAAGTCTGATTGCCGACAATCCCGCACCGATTCCGAGCAAGATCTTAAGCAATTTCCTGGCGATCATTTCCGCCATGGTGGCGTGGAACCCAGATCCCCACTCCAATTGGGGCACATCGACGGCCCCGATGACGGCGAAGAGAGGGATTAGGTACGATAAACACGTTAGCGCCACGACGACAAGCAGAGCAACCGGGAAAGTCTTCCCCGGCTTGTTGACTTCTCCGGCGAGCGCGCTGATGTTGTCCCAAAAATTCAAGTTCCATAAGAGAATGTCGAGGAAGAGATTCCAATCTATTTTCACTCCTGGGCCCTGGCTAGTCCATTGAGAGCCAAGGATCCATGCGACGGTGGAGAGGAACGGCGGGCGGTGGAAAATAATAATTGCAGAAATCAGGATTTTCTTTTTTTAATTTATAACAATCAGTAAAAAATAAAATATAACTATTTTTTTATTTTTTAATTGCCACGTCACTCATTTAACGGTCAACTATAAGAGTTGACCGCCACATCATCAAAACTTAACGGAGACTAACGGCCAGTGACCAAACTTGATCGGTTAACCTAATTTAAGTGACTACGGATGGAATAAATCAATTTTAGTGGCAAACGTGAAATTTTGTAGCAATTCGAGTGACCAAACTTGCAATTAAGCCTTCTTTTAAAACATGAAAGTGGGGTAAGCTTTTTGCCCAAAGCTCTCTTTATTTGGCGTTTAGTGCCTAGCTCTCTCCAAACTTCAGCAAAATGTTTTGGGCCAGCCTGCCGTGGACAGCTTCTATCCCGCGACCCAGCAGAGAGACCTACCATGCTTTTCCCCTCTGTTCCTTTGACGATTCCACTGTGCTTCTCCAACTTACCTCCTCTTCGTAGCACCACCGCCCATGCACACCTACTTGGACACGGCATCAACCAGGAATGTCAACAAAACCCGAACCCATGGTATCCACCGACCCAACCCGATCAACGCGGGTAAAACCCGTGTTGATGGGCTTTGGGTTTAAACCTGCTACACTATTCATCGGGTCGGGTTGGGTTTGGGTTTAGGTAAACCCGCCCCATGGGTACCCGCCCACACACATATAATTACTTTCCCGGTATATTTATTATTCTAAATAATATATCTTCCTTAAACAACTAATATTATTTATGTTTGTGGAGACATTTATGTTTGTGGAGACATGTATAATTTGTTCTTTCTAATTGTTTAGAATGAAGTTGATATAATGAAGTGGAGAGTGAAGAAACTTAGTTGACAAGGAAGAAGCTTTCAATTAATCTTATTGTTTATAGATGTTTATCTTTAATTTTGAACAATTTGTATTGATCATTTGCGGTTTGCTTGTATGCTCTAAATTGGTGTTTTTTGTATGAATAATTTGTATGAGAAAATTAATGTTAAACTTTTATTTTGAAAGAAACTTGTTATTATAAATTTTTTACCACAAAAACCCATGGGTACCCATGAACCCGCGGATACCCAGCGGATTGGGTTGGGTTTGAGTTTTTCAAACCCAGCGATTTTACCCCGGGTTTTTTTGGCGGATAAACTCATGGGTTTGGGTTTGACAAAACCCGCCCCAACCCGACCCATTGCCATCCCTAGCATCAGCCATTGATTGTAAGGAACCAGCAACAACTCCATTGTGCATTGGGAGAAGAGTTGTCATCTCTAGTTTCCAGGCTTTTGAAATAAACTTTGGTTTCCAGGCTTTTGAAAAGAGTTGTCAACTCCACTATGCAATCCCTTCACCTTCCCTCTTTTTCGAGATTTTTCCAGAAATAGCACTGTGTTAAAAAAAAATTCAAAAATAGCAACAAATCCGAAAAATTCAAAAAATAGCACCCTTTTTGCAAAACCGCCACCCGTACCAGCGGTTTAGGCAAAAACCGGCACCCGGGGCACGTTTTTCGATGAAAACCGCACTTGTAGGGGGCGGTTTTGCAGACCGCACTCCCACGATGCGGTTTGTTTGCAGACCGCACCCTCACGATGCGTTCAGGTTTTTTTTTTTTTTTGGAAAAATCCTAACCTAGGTCAAACTTCAAACGAACGTATCTTTATGTTCGGGTATTCGATCGTCGCGAAATTTTTTTTGATTTCGCATAACTTTTTGAGATCTTGCGAGCCGAAGACTGCCAAAGGTGGTTTGGTCTCGCCTTCGTCCCAAAAAATGTCGTTTGCTACCCCGAACGAGCTTTTTTCCGATTTCGTCAAACTTTGGACAACCGTAACTTTGTGCTCCAAAATCCAAACGGCATGAATTTTTTTTTTATTTCGCATAACTTTTTAAGGACTACAATTTTACTAGGAATGAATTTTCAAAACAAGAATTATTTTTGGATATACAGGATTTTGGGAATAGCTTATCTTCCCTTCTCAGCAATCCACGTACATTTTGAAATTATGTCTATGATAAAAGTTGTATTCCTTAAAAATTTATGCGAAATAAAAAAATTTCATGCCGTTTGGATTTTGGAGCACACAGTTATGGTTGTCCAAAGTTTGACGAAATCGGAAGAAAGTTCGTTCGGGGTAGCAAACGACATTTTTTGGGATGAAGGCGGGACCAAACCACCTTTGGCAGTCTTCGGCTTGGAAGATCTCAAAAAGTTATGCATAATAAAAAAAAATCGCGACGATCGGATACCCGAACATAAAGATACGTTCGTTTAAAGTTTCCACCTAGGTTAGGATTTTTCAAAAAAAAAAAAAAAAAAAAAACAGACCGCATCGTGGGGGTGCGGTCTGCAACCAAACCGCATGGTGGGGGTGCGGTCTGCAAAACCGCCGCCTACCAGTGCGGTTTTTATCGAAAAACGCGCCACCGGGTGGCGATTTTCATCGAAAAGTGCACCTCCGGGTGGCGGTTTTACAAAAAGGGTGTTATTTTCGGAATTTTTCGGAGTTGGGTGCTATTTTTGGAAAAAAAAAATGAACAGTGTTATTTTTGGAAAAATCTCCTCTTTTTCTGCCAACCACCTCTCCGTGATAAATCTATCTCCTCTCATACTCTCACTATCCTTTCCTGTTACATTGTTGCTGACAATATCATCCCTCCATCCCATCAGTCGTTTCTCCCATCTCCTTGCTTTCCAATTATCTAACATAGCACCCCCTAACTCTCATCCATATCCCAACCTTTTCGTTCTTCCTCTCTCTTCGACTCCAGTCGTTAGGCAAAAGTCAGAGTCAGCGATGGTGAGAATCCTCCATTGGCACCAGGGAAGACCAGCTGCAAGGATCATTGATTTTTACGCAGGTGATTGACGAAAGTTTGCTCGCAGAAAAGAGCAAAACAAATTCGTTACTTTTAGTTCCCGTTGATTTTGGCAGCAACATACATGGATTCTCTTCGCTCTCTCTGGTCGAGGTCCACACCACAACAGCAGCTCCGACCCGGAAGGTCACGACGAGGAGAAGATTGCTGACGACAACGAAGGTGCCGGCCTTTCGCAAATAGCTATCGGTACGATTTTCACTTCATACTATCGATTTTTGCTTGCTTGCCTAGACTTTTGTTTCCTCTCTTTTCTCCATATATAGGCCACTGAACTTTTCAATGATCTGGTGGTTGTTTAATGTCCTCGCCTGTCGTGTTTATCTCTCAATTCTGGGCTCAAATGCTCAATTCATCACCAAATTTCGGTGAGGGGCGGACAGAGATATACAAAAAGAGGTGCGTTCAAATTAGTTCACAGGAGAAGGGGAACAAGAATAGCTTGAATGTCAATCTTATTTTTCCTTCTCTATTGATTTTCTCGATCTAACTCACTGATTCATTTATTTTGACATTCTATGAGACTTAGTGTGCTTGCCTTTGCTATATTGTTGTTTCAGTTAAACAAAATCACCTTCCTCTCTGTGACTTTCGTTTCAACTACTGAATTTGCAAAAAAAAAAAAAAAATCACCATCCTTGCTGCTCAGAATGGGGTTCAAGAGGAATTGCATGATCTCTCTACAGTTAAAAATTTCAGAACCTTTTCTGAATTGCCTCTCATCCCTGGACCTTACAGCTTCCATATGAAACTAATTTTGTTCACCATCAGTACTTGCCAGTTCCAGTCCATTCCACAAACCTTTGAAACTCTTCAAGTAACTGCTATTAATTTTAATATATATTGTGCTTATTTTTAGCAATGCTCTTGCCTATTGTGATTTTATTTCATGAGTAACTAAAGCCTTTAAATTAAGAGGATACTTCTTCTTATATTTCCGTACAGATAGATGCTAACCACATCCGTGTAGAGCAGAGGAGGCTGCACTCTGCAGGGAAGGTAGGAGGATCTTCATCATCGCCAAACTGTTATTTTGTAGTGTGAATTACCTTTGATTATATATGGATACTTCGTTATTTTGTTAGCAGTGCAAACTGCGCTGAAAGAGATGGTTGTGCAGATAGTTCTGTGCTTTAATCCCCTCTGGTTTTTTATGTAGATTGACCTTTATTGTGGGTTACTGACTTACTGTGGAGCTAGATTCCTTGGCCAACTGCAGCGAACCCGCACGGAACAAACCAGACAGTACCGAGGTAGTCATGGTTAACTGGTGTAAGAGATCAAAACCTCCAAATCAAGTATCATTTAAGCTTCTATACTTAAGTGTTTCCTTTGCTCGAAGATCATATGTTATACTGATTGAGTTGCTGCTAGAAGAGAGGATCTTTTCGGTTGCCCTTATTCATCCAAGTGTCTTTTCTTAATTTTGGTTTATATGTGTTCAAAATTCTCTAGGTAATCTAATGCTTTTCCTAGCTAATTTTTAGTCACATATGTGCCAACCTATCTATACTTGCTATTTCACAGCTACATATTTACAATTAAACTCATATTATTTATAGGTAATTCATCAATCAACTTAAACCATCTCCTCATGCTCGAATCATCAGTCCAACTATCATCACGTAAAAGCATTTAAAGTGAGGTTTAATGATTATATGATCAAGAAATAATCCACTCATGTTCAAAATAGTTTGCGCTGATATTGGCTCCTCCATATGCAAAGTTGGTATCAGCCACGTTACTTTCTAGCTTTGTATTTTAGTGCCTTTTATAATTTAAAAGGGATACAAATTATTAGAGAAATTTTCAGTATTAAGAGGATGCGACTTCAGGGCCAAAATAGTGCATTGTGTTCCTAATTCTTGCGTTGAGAACAAGTTATTTGTTTGCTTTTGGAACCTGTAGTTGCAGACATGAGAGTGGTCACATTAACCAATTAACCATAGTGGTGATTGCCAAAAGCAAGGACTTCAACAAGAAACATAAGCTTGGTGAAATGGCTATGCAGGGTGGAAGAGCACCTTACCAATCCATGAGGTATTTAATCCCTTCAAATTAGATTGCACTTCCTCTAACAACCTCCGTACTAAGTAAATTAGACTTTAATTTGTGTTCTGCTATATAATGATATATTAGTGCTTGAATGGAATTGTTGTTGATATGGCAAGAATGAAGTGCCAAAATCATTAACATTCCATTCAATTATAGCCATTCAGTTCTATGAACTACATTTGCACAAACTGATAGTTTCTTTTTCAAGGTTATGATTTGAGACTTTGGAACATACATTACATCTTAAGTTTCAGTTATATAAGAAGCCATACATCTTTGATGATTATTTTATGTGAAAACAGTTTTTATTGTTGTACATTTAAACAAATTAGAGGTTGACTGGGTCCGTGTTGTTTCTCTAAGATTTTCTTTCCCTTTACCTTGCTGTTTAGACTAGAGTTTGAACTTGAAGACTGAATTCTCTACTCTCTATCTGTTTAATAGGGGTGGTGGGAGTCCTCTGTCACTGGTACTTGGAGGTGGGTGTCTCAAATTCTTAAATGACCTAAATTGTCGTCTGACTTGCTTAATTTAGAAGGAACTAACGACAGATTGTAAAAATCCAGCATTATTGGTTGAACATATGTTGTAGAGATTTTGAGAAGCAAAGCAATCAACCATTTATAGTCTCCTACATGGAAAGGGTCAAATTGATTACAAACAACAGCTGAAAACAAGATGGTGCATAGAGCGGATATTAAAAGAAACTAGGGAATTGCAGCTAGAGAGCAACTCCATTCAACAACGCAGTCCTGATCAATGTGAAAATCTTTTCCAGTTGGCAATCAGATCAGGTGGTGGGAATGGAAGTTTGATTTGATGTAAAGTGTCATCTTGGATAGTCATAATCAATGAATATATACTGATGGGGATCACGTTGGCTAAGACATCTAATGTTATAGTATTTTAGTTCCTATTATAGATAAAGTTATTGCAATTAGCACTTTTCAGCTTTAGCAAATGTGTATTGAACATTGTTGTGTTCAATCCAATCAGTGATTCTACTTAGATTACTACAGAGTGTGATCTTTGTAGATTAGATAGTGAACTCCGAACAAATTTGATAGTTACAGGTTTCTTTCATACTTCAGGTTGTTGTAGAATCAGAAAGCGACCTTACCAAAATAGAGGTTGCAATTCTGTTTTCTTTACGCTACTGGTGTGAAATGGGATTTCTTCAACCTATATATGTCATTCATTTACCGTAGTTGAACTACAAATAGGGGTTTAAACTTTTAAGTTGTAAATTATGGATTTAGTATTACCTAATGTATAGCTATTCTTGGCTGCTGCAGTTTGCAGGTGTTATGTTTGAATGGGTTTCTATGCAGGTATCCTATGCCAAACTTCAAGTAACATTTAGTTCATTTATGCTTAGAGATGATTAGTAGACTCTTCTTCTATTGAGGCGCTTATAATCATTCTTGCCTTGCGTAAATCTTATAAGATGTATTCATTTACACAGTCTGAAAACTTAGAAGGGTGTGCCACCCATATCCATATCGGAAGTTTTGTCACTGATGTTTGCCTACCATTCTTATTTAATTATATTGGTCCCTTTTCTTCCAATGGAAGATAACCATCCAAACCAAGAACCATCATCTATTCGTGCATGAATCATTCAGAATGTATATAGTTTCTAACGATTTATGTTATGGTTATACTGTTTTTACATATGCTAAACACAATTAAATATCCCGCGGCGTAGCCGTGGGTATTGATTCTAGTTACTGTAACAATAGGATTCATTAAAGATAAAAAGGTAATTTAATCATAAAAAAATAACAAACAATCTATTTATTCATCCCGAATTTTCGATGCCGAGATCTTCCCTTCCCAGATTTGGGATTCTCCTCAGCCTCCACCCAGCTTTTCTCCTTCGCCTCTCTTTTCTATTCAATGGCAGGCGTCTCTTACTTGGCTGATCACCTGGCGGCGGACATTTGGGTCTCCGTCGATGCCTTGCAAGTCAACGGTGCAGATGACCGACAGCTCCAACACAGGGTCGTCCGGAAGTTGATTTGATGGGAGCTGTGATGTGCTGTGGGTAGAGGAATATCGGTGGGATTGTCGTGATTCCAGCATCTACGAGGCTCTTTACGCCGGTTTTTGTCTCGTCGAAGGCCTTCAGTGCGGCTTTCCGGTCGAAATCAGAGGTACGAGATCCGATTTGACTTGCCATACTCTGTTTTTGGATGTGGAACTAGAGCAACCAGCGACAGAGGAAATAAAAGTTGGGGCGGCAAGTGCAAACTGGCTGGCGTCTTAGAGAGGTGTTTCCTTTTCCCGATTTTGAACATTTAAGTTTTGACTTCATTACAAATGTAGAATTAAGGAGGCTACTGCGTGTTCTTTCTAATTATGGTGAAGAATGTGACAAGGGGTTTAAGTGATGTAGGAACTATACGTGGACATTTATGAGAGTGAGGGGGAAATAATGATCCGAATTTCAAACTCAAAATTTTGAGATTCCAACTATATATAAGCACACCAGAAACCTTCTAATGCAGACCACAAATTCTCTAAAATATACTATAAAGCCCACAAAGCAAACCGCAAATATTTCTTAAGCACACCAGAAATCCCTAATGCAAACCACAAATACGAAAAATCAAACCACAAAAAACAAACCATAAACGTCCTAATGCAGACCATAAATATATTAAAACAAACTAGAAACCTCACAATGCAAACCACAAATTTTTTGAAAGCAAACTAGAAACTTCTTAATGCAAACTAGAAAAACGATAAAGCAAACCACAAAAGCCATACAAAAATATGAGAAACCAAACCATAAATCTCACAATGCATACCATAACATCCGGTGGTTGTTGACTGTTGACCATTCAATAAAGTTCGTTGACCAAACTCCGATGACTGTCAGTGAGCAGATTCCGACGCCGATAGACATATTCCGGCCCCGATGACTAGATTCCGACGCCGGTAAGCATATTCCGGCGATGGTGGGCATATTCCGGTGACAAAAAGCATATTCCGGTGACTGACAACCAGATTCCGATGACCAAAATTTTGGGCAGAAAATAAAAATATATTTTTTAAAATTTTATTTTTTAAAATTTTATTTTTTAAATTTATTTAAACATATTTTCAATAATGACAATTATACTCCTGTTTTGATTTTACACTAAGTCAACTCAGCTAATAAAAAGTCATCACAACCCTAGCTTCTTATTGGTTGTAGACTAGTGTTATTAACAACACAAGGGGTGTTGTCACACTATCTAGTCCCTTACAAGAAGGTGACACACTCAAAACCCTTTCGCTTCAACTGGAAATTTCTCTTGTCAGGATTGGGAAAATAGACCAGATGATTGAAAAACTACGGATCAAACTGGACTGCACAGTTTGGTCTGGTCTGTAGATCACTAAAAATGGTATTGTCTGTTCCATAATCTATATTATATGATGTTTTGATCTCTTAGGCTGGTTTGGTCTAGACCGCGGTTTATCGGACCAAATCGTGAACCCAATCAACTTTCCAATCACACTTGACCACTCTCCCGATTCCCCCCAACAAGACCAAAGTTTCAACCCTAATTTTGAGAAACTCAGCCCCTCTTTCATTCACAATCACATTTCATCATAGAGTAGAGACGATCGTGTCTCCATATGACATTATGGTAATGTTTTTGACGTTATGGTGCAAGTTGGGATGCTTTGACTTTGTAGTTTTTGTTGTTTACTAAGATTAAGGGTGTCAAAATTCTTCAAGCATGTTGGATTTTTTTTGTTTTAAGGCAAAAAACACAATTTTTTTCTCAGTTATTGATTCAATTTTTTTGTGTGGTTGACTAAACAGTTCATTTTTCGTTCATTGTGGTCTATTTGGACTAGACCGTAATGGACCAGACCACACAGACGTGTTCTGGTCTGGACCGTATAACACATGGTCTGATCTCTATTCTATACTCTAGCCTCTCGATATAAGCCATAAGCTATATATATGACTTGGTCTTGACAAGACCGCACCGTTTCCCAACCCTATCCGACTTTCAAAAGTTCTAATCGAATCAATTAGTTTTCCATCCAACCCAAACTTTTAATTACTTTTTGCTTCCCAAAGCTTTTAAAAACATCCAAAACTATATTTCAACAAGTTTTATCTAGTATAAAAATTAGAAAACCTTCTAAACATAATATTACTAGAATGGCTAATCAAATTTTTTCAATAAAATAGATAAATTAGTAAAATAATAAATGAATATCAAGAAGAATAATAAATATACTAGAAGATAATAATAAATATTTAAAATTAATATTAGAAGATCTATTTAAACCTATAATTCAATTAGAAGCACCATTATCTGGAAGCTCACAGATCTCGAGGCCACCCTCTTGCAACGGATAATGGAATTTCTCTGGCCAATAGATGGGTGCCGCCGCCGGAGGGCGTTTTCAAGCTAAACACGGATGCTGGTATCCTGCAGCAGGCTGGGATGGGAATGGGGTGCATTCTTCGGGACTGGAAGGGGGAATTCAGAGGAGCCTCTATGATGAAGGAGAGGGGAGTCAATAGACCGATCGAAGGTGAAGCAAGGGCAATTTGGATGGGTCTTAGGGAAGCGAACATAATAGGATTGAGCCCCATTATTGTTGAATCGGATTACCAGGTTTTGATTAGGAAGTTGAGGAAGATGGAAGGGGATCAAACTGAATTGGGTAGCTGGTGTGAGGAGATTTGGAGGTTAGCTGAAGTTAACGCTGCTCTTTCTGGAAATCAAGTGGTTTGGAGCTTCTCTCCTCGGACGAGTAATGGAGTGGCACACTGGCTTGCCCACTCGGTTGGTGTGTGGAACGGTCAGGTGGTTTGGGCTGACGACCCACCTTTATCTTTGCTTGTACTTATTGAGTCGGACATGGGCCGGATTCCACCAGGCCCATTGTAACTTTTCGTTGATATGAATGCAAGTTCCCATAAAAAAAATTAGAAGCACCATTAGAATAATTATAATAGAACCTAATCGATCATCAATACACCAAGACCAAAAAAGGATAAATGAAACACAATAATAAAGAATTAAACATATTCTAGTAATTGACAAAAATAGAACGAAAAGAGACGGAAAGTAACCAAGTAATAAATAAACAATAAAAGCTACAACATTCAATAACAAATGTAGAAAAGAAAATATGAATATAGGAAGAGAATAAAATTAGTAAATTTAACTAATATGGAACATCTATAATATAATATTAGATAATTAAAACGATATTTAATATGAAAAATTAGACAACATCAACATGATGTAAGAGAACTTAATATAACATCCTCATATTATTTATATCGAGATAGAACTCATAGGATATATTTGCTTCAGCAAATTATTCAAATATTAGAATCCAACTGAAAAATAACAAATGATGTTTTTCGTAAGTCCAAATGATTTTGTTACAATAGGAAAAATTGAAGGACCAATTATGAAATTTAGAAAGTGAAATATTCTAAGAATATTCTGTCAACTTTCACGGAATGCACTTAGCAATAAACTTAAGTGGCACCGGGTGCACATATAATAGAGTTTAGTGGTACCCGACGCCCTATTATTAATTAAGTGGTATAGTTCTACCAATTCTCAAACTTTAATGGTACCCGAGGTATTTTACCCCAAACAAGACAATAATATGTAAACTCAACCTGAACCAATTTTTTTATTAACTATACGGAATTAAGTTACATACAAACCTATTATGTTTTCTCATTTCTGCAATGTGATAGAGATTCATTTTATCATACTTCACTATTGCCAATTTCCAACACTTCATAGTATCATCGTTAACAATTGAAGTGTTAAACAGAAGTTACGTAGACCGTGTCATAAAAGTACCTACCCTATTTATATTTTTTTTAAATAAATAATGCCTGAATGCTTTATTAAATCAATGTAATAGGAGGGTTATAATCGTTTAACAATTGTGGTAAACGGAAAACAGGGGTCTTCCCATCCATACTTCAGTTTCTTCCCACCTGCAAAGCACATGAGAAATGAGATCTGCTGCAACATTTCCTTCTCACCCTTAGATACTGCCATTCCACTCTTCCCCATCTTCTTCCTTCGAACTGAATCTCTTCAACCAACACTCCCAACTCAGTACTCTAATCAATTTCAATATCATTTGCCCTCGCCAACTGCAAATCCCAAAAAAAAAAAAACACCGCTGCCTCTGCCATTTCCGCCACCCTTCGCTGGCATACCACCGCCATGTGAAATACTCCGTTCCAGTCCCGAATCACTAATTGAAAGCCCACTCCACCATCCTTCCGAATCGCAACATCAACATCCACCTTATAACTTCCATGCGGTGGCCTCTCCCAGTGCATTAAACGAGATCCTGCTCTTGCCCTCGCCGATGGGGAAATTAGTGTTTGATAGTAGGGATGGCAATGGGTAGGGTCGGGTGCGGGTTTACCCTATACCAACTCCTAACCCGCCGGGTAGAGCTTTCTTAAATACCCGACCAAATAACCACCGGGTATGAAAATTATATAACCATACCCTACCCACCGGGTAACCACAGGTATTCGGGTAACCATGGGTACGAATCCTAAACTATGAACTTATACACATATGCACATACATACTGTTGTCCATTAAAAATTCTCAATACTTGTAACTGTTCTAGCTTCAACAATCCACACAAATAAAAACAGCAAACACATAATAATTATTTTTGCTTCTACAATCCACACAAACATAATAATCGTCTACATCTTCATCATCAATAATGGTAGCTAAACTCAATTTCTCAAGCAAAAATAAATTTCTCAAGGGAAATTGACCATTTGGTTAGCGGGGCGGGTATAACGGGGCGGGTATTATCGATTACCATACCCGTACCCTACCCTTTATTTTGAAACCGAGTATTACCCGTACCCGCCCCTTAACCAGTCAAAGCGGGTAATTACCCTCGTTGACCGGTTACGGTTGGGTAGGATACCCATGGTTACGGGTTGGATTGACATCCCTATTTGATAGTCATCCTGGTAACACTTCGCTCTGGCCGCCATGTCCCATCCTTCTAATTTAGGATTATTGAATATGTGATTGTTTCTATCTTTCCATACAAACCAGATTGTGATAAGAAAACCTTCAACCTCTTCATTACTCGCCTTTTTTAGGACTTCATAGAGCCACTCTTCGCACCCCATCTCTTCCCCCTTCC